AAAAATACATATTTACCACGCTGCTAAATTAAATACTAAGTCAAATTTGTATCATTTACGTATTTACAAAACTATGAAATTATTTCACTAAGGAATTAATAATCGTGTATCTCGATATTTATTAAGAACTTCTGGTCGTCGGTAAAGTTCAAAATATATATACAATTCGAGAATCTTGTATGCATCCTGCGACAGTTGATGAAATCCTGTTCGAAATGCGTACGTGTGTCTCGTTGAAGAAAAAGCGTACAGGAGTACGCGAATAGCAGAATAATACTACGATATTTCGATTAGGTCAAATTGAAACAATCGAGTACAACCACATGTATATTCACAAATCTTAGCTGGACTTGTTTTCTCTGCTACCTGATCTTCAGAATTAATTTCTTCATTTCCGAAGTCAAAATCTCTGTCTATTACACTGTAATACATCTCTGTCCAGTCATTACTGTCCAATACGTCTCTGTGTATTAAAATTAGTTAGAAGACTTAGACAAAAATGAATCCGAATTATCTGTTTATACGATTAAAAGTGAACATAAGTAATTGACGGAGCGTGTAAATGGTTTCTGTGAAAATCTTATAAAATTCGGTGCGGATCAACGTGATCGTACTCCATAAACCTAGTGTTAAAAATGAATTTTCACTAAACCTAACACTAAACCTACCATGACCGGTCAAATGATCGTTTTCAAACATTTCTATATACCTACAGTCCTTCAGGATTACATACAATCGATGTAAAATATTTTTGCATATGATTGAAACGAGTGTCTTTGAAACCACTCTCATTCGTCCCATAGAAATAGTTACAAATGAATGTCGTTAGATTTAGTGTTAATTCTACCATACTGTTTAATAGGCACATCGAGAGCCAAGTCTGTTTCTAAAACCTGAACATCGTAAATAGACAACCAACAACACAGTGAATAAATTCCAGAAGCTAAACACTGAAATTAATAACCCTATAAATAGACTATCAGTAAAATGAGTGCTAAGACTGCTCGAGCCTTCCACGAGATTCCACTTCAGCGACATCCAGATCGAGACAGCGGGATCTGCCCTCGCGAAGAACGGTCGACCAGAAATAACCTCGATCGCCCTGCAACTTGGAATTCGTCGATGGCCCAAGCCCATGGTCAAGTCGGAGCCAGTGAAAACCCGTTCCCCCCACTGTAGCCAACCGAAGAGCCGGGTGGGGGAGTCCCCTCGACCCTTGATGGCCCTTCTGGGGGACCGCGAGTCGGCAGCGCGGAAAGTCGGAGGGAAAAGAGGTTTCAAGGCCAAAAGAGCTCCATCCGCCTGCTGCGATCCTGCTGAAAATGCGTGGGCGCGGTCTCCCCGAGGGCTGGCCGAGGCCGACGAAGGTCGCACCCTTTTTCGACTGGCGTGTGCTTGGCCCTTTCGTCCAACCTCGTTCGACCATCTGTCCCCTACCAGCAGTGCTCCAGCGCAGCTCGTTGTCCTCTGACCTCTCCACCTTTCTTCCTCGGGATCCTTCAGAAACGATTTGTCCCTCCAAAGGGATCTCTGGCGCACGCGCGAGCTTCATAGCTCCACCACAGTGTAATATACAGATGAGACACTGTTTCCCCTGCCAACGTATAAGAATGTCCTTTCGATGATCGATTAAGAGACCTGCCTAACACGGTTCGAACAAAGGAGCATATTTATGAATCTTTCGGGAATAAACGGACAATTTTTTGGCGAAACGTTTACATAGTATACGAATGAAGGTTTCCTAGCGGACGTGTCGCGATTTTTGTATTTGAAAATATCTCGAGCTAACAAAGTCAGCGACGTCATTGTTTATACGAGTATTCCGTGGTAACTACTATACCTTGAAGCTGGAATATCCGAACATCGAGACACAAGCATTTTTTAATAACATATTGGTGTGGCCCTGAGTAATAACTCCACGAGTTTGTTGTAATCGTAAGATTTATCGACGACGTGCAGAGTTTTGTAAATAATTAGACGAGATCTCGAGACGGACTAACTCGGCTCTGAAAATCTAAGGGGAAGAGGTCCCTTCATCGAGAAGCTTCGGGAAAAAATCGGGTCCTCAAGGACCGTGACCAACACGGTTGTTTTTCTATTACTCACGCGCGGTCCTAAATTCGAGAGAAAGTTGGGCTCGGCTTTGAAGTATCCAACAATATCAAATTATCTAAGTTACTCTCGACAGGTTTCTCTAACCTTGTTTTTGTTTATACTTTATTTTTTTTTTTAAGTATAAGTACATTTAAGTATGTAAATATAATAGTAAATATAATGTAATGTAATAGTAAAAAAAAATAGACGCTTCTCAAGGCTAGAAAGTATTTGCATCGTCGCCATTTTTTGGTGCATACTATTAAAAAAGTATATCGTTACTTAATTCCAATTTGACAATATTCATTCAACCCTTGAATCGCTCGATTTAAAGACAAAGTAGTTTATGTCACTATTAAGATAAACGACTCAATTGATTTAATTTATCGATTTTACAGTGTCTATTTTTTGTTACAATCGTGAACAAAACTCGCGTTCGTTGGAACCAACACATTCGTAGAAGATGTTTAGTCATTTACGTGCAATGTCATTTGATTTCATTCACCATTGGGGTCGGTTCATTTTACTTCCATGGTACTCACGTGTTGCAACCCCCTTTTGTCACGCATACGTTCACCACCACTCGAGCATCCCCCTACATCAAGCATTCCCCTACTACCCCCTATATCTGCCTATCGATGCACAGCGGTATCGCTGGTTAGGCGAACACCCTTGCGCAATGTGCCACGCGCGATTCATTCCGACCTTCTCCATCCCTCAGGGATTCCCCCATCCCTGTGCTTACGCATGCCAGAACGTCGATTCGCCAGCCTAACCCTGCCCAAAGGGTTGATACATTTGCTATAAAGCATCCTTCGACACCGTCGAGGCTACTAGGCTTGGGTCTGGAGTTGAAATTACCACCGCGTTACCATTATAATAAAGGACTTTCAAAAAGGATTTAGAATTTTGTTTTTCACTAACACCGATAGTGAAAAGTGGGGTGAATTAGAGAAAGTAGGGTTGTGTCTGAGGCTCTATAAGTTTAATCCAAAGGTCGGTACCTATGCTTGAGGGCCATACCCGACCCCATCTGATAACGACGGGTTTGTAAAACGACAAACGGGCGCCTAATGACTGATTATTAGTACCAGTTACCACTATTAGGGGTTCTTATTCTAACGAACCCACACAGACCGACCGAGAAAGAAAATGGAAAGACGAGCCCTCTCCATTATTACACTTCATCGAGGCAAGTACTCGGAAACCTCGTGAAACTCTAGTCTCCAGCTTTTGTTCTGGGGAGGTCTAGCACCATCGACCACCCCAGGGTTGTGTCCGAGACTGAAATTACCATCACGTTACTTTTATAATAAAAGGTTTTCAGAAAGGGTTTAGAACTTTATTTTTCAAAGCGATGTTGTGAAAACTGGGGTGAATAGTGAAATTGAGGCTTGGGTCTGGGGGTTGAAATTGCCACCTTCGGTAGTTTTAGTGTTAAACGACATCATCTTTTACTTTTTATTTTAATTGCGCGTACTTTCGTTCAAAGTAAATTCCATACTATTTGAGTTTCGTTAAGAAACCAAACTCCGACATATCCTCTCTTTATTAAGAATTACGAAAAATACATTTGTAAATAAAACTTACAACTATGTAGTTATATTAAAATCTATACATATAAATTACGTGCAAGTGAAAATAATCTGTTCTCTATTTCGTGCTTGGTTACGTTAAAATGTTTATATTGTTGAGAAAGGTGTCTATTATGTGGAGACATTTAATGTTTGATCTCGTTAGAAAATTTTGAATGCTGTATGGTGGATTGTATTCATTTCTTGTTGGATCTCGAATCTTGAAGCATTTTCTTTCTGTGGGAAAATAATAATGGACAATTCTAGATGATACGGTCTATGGTTTAATCGTCATGTCCGTATGAGCATGTGGAGTTTCAGATGATCTTGATTCTAGCTAATGACGATGTAAGATTCTAATGGTTGAATTTGACTAGTTACGCGCGAAATTGGTGCGATAGTGACATCTATTGGCAGCACTGATGATTTCACTGCGTCGGTAAGACGGATGGTGAAAAGAACTAGACAGTTACAGAACGATTGACATTTCTAATCTCATTGTTTTCCTCGAATTAAGTTCTTAGCGGAGTTGTATTAATCTCCATTAGCGAAAATAACTCGAGGGAAAATATCTTTCGTAAAGATTAAAGCTGAAGTCCACAGTTGGACTGGGTTTTGATTCAGTACCCATTCTCAGTGAACAGACTGAGCTGGTCATTGCACTCATCATACAAACTGGTTGACTAACGTCCTTTAACACTTTGACCCCTTTCCTCAGAATTCAATTACATGTTAAAACAAAAATCGCTGTAACTTGGACGAATGTAATCGAAATTCTTTCAAATTACGTACAGCTACGTAGTAGGATCCACCGATGCCAACCAATTCATCAAAAAGTCGAATATCCATTACCATTTATTAATATTTAATTACAAATGAGTAATTGTCAACTAATGATACGGAGTTTTTCAGATATTTACAGTGGGAAATTTACTTTTTCATATCCAACTTTCCTAATCCAAAAGGTCACTCGAAAAAAAGCACCTAATTTCACGTAGAACGACCCATCCGATTGAAACTTGCATTCGAGTATCAACTATAGAGTTTGCGCCGGCGTTTTCCGCCGGAAGCAGAACCAGATGTGCATTAAACACGTGTTGAGTTGCACGCGTTGTATTCAAACAGCGCGGCAATCGTCAGCGGTGACGTAGCGGAAGAAAAATTTTAATTATCTCATGTCGGAACGGCACACGGTTGCTTTCTCTTCGATCCTAATAACCTTGTTAAAAATTTCGTGTAAACGTTGATCGACTATTATATTGTACCTATTTCGAGTGATTTGTCAAAGTGAGAGTGGCTACAGAATTCAGTGACGTAATGTATTTCACTTCCATATTTGAAATTACTAGTGTCTCCAGCCAGTCTTCATCACTGGCTAGTTGATTTCTCTTAACGCGGTGTACATTTTACAATTTGAAGAGTGATCATGCTTGAAACGGAGGATTTGCCGCGAATGACATCATTGTCCCCTGTCAACGATACAGTTGGTTCAAAATCAACAGCACTCGTGCATGCGGTAAGTACTAAAGTATATGAATAATATGTAACGCTTATGTTGGTGTATCTGCAGTGCTTATGGCTCACGTATTTGCTCGATCATTTACAAACTTGAATTAGTAATTTAAACATGGCAGCCGTGCGCAGCATGCCAACATGAGCGCGCTTGAAGTTCCTTTATTTAAATTGTACATTTCAATGATGTATTTCATCAGAATTTGTCGAAACTGTACATTTTTAACAAGTGCAACGTGTATACTTACAATAAAGTGACATATTCGACCGGAATTTCATCTTTTGTTTCACATTTATACTCGGTGGGAATGTTACCTACAGAGAAACGGAAGTACGGTTAAATCAATTTATCGACGGAACGTCAGCTGTTCTGTAACATCGTCAGAGTTCACCTACGAACTCAATTATGCATCGAACATTCTCTATGAATATATCGTTGCCAATAAAAACGTAGCCTTGCGCGTTATTTCGCTCCTGTAGGTACATTGTCAACAGTATTACTTAAATAGTTAATAGAAAACGATGATGAATAGAAAGCGATGAATAACCGAAACAACAGTAGCTATTGAATTAATTTCTTATTCATCTAAATAGTAATTGAAAATGTAATTTTATCTCGACAATATATTGTATAATTAAAACGAAGATGTTTCTGTAAATGAATGTATGCGCATATGCAGATGAAAAGCTTACAACGAAAATATATTTTTACCAATCAGCTTACATGGTATGATTAGATTGTTAGATATATAAACACAGTTTAATTTGAGTGCACTGTAATAACCGAAAAAAATGCGATAAGGGAGTTCAGAGTATCGTTATGCAACAAACTTCCTTCAATAAAAAATCTAAAGAAGAAACAGTGTAATCAAACGTTGTTATATAAATGCATACCTAATTCTATCCAATTGAGTTATTACGATTTCTAGCTTCAAATTGAATGGAAACATTCGTGCAAGCGTGTAACTGATTAGTTATTATATATTTTCTGCTTTTCCTACGATTAATAACCGACGGTTAAATTGGAATTCGTAAAAAAGATACCCGATATTTTGTCTTCAGAAAAATCAAAGATTAATATGAAATTGTTTGTATCAAAGAAAGGAAGAATTGTGACGTTTCTCTACATTTTAACAATTGTTCTCGCGCATGTTACATAAAAAATATATAAATTTTAATAACATGTTATCGCGAGAGAAACACTAAATTCTTCTTTTCTAATTTAAAAAGTTGAGAATCAGTGATAATTATATTTGTCGAAAAAGTAATTTACCTCGTCCCTCGACATTTCTTCGAAGAATCTTAATTCTTTAAAAAGTTATACTGATATTTTCCAATGTAATGCGGATTCACCGCGTAACCAAACAGGTATAGTACTGCAACTATCATAATGTTACTTTTCAGTTTTCTTCGGGAACGAAGTGCGCAACAAAAACCACGAATATTTGCGAAACAGAAAATCACGTGAACAACAATAATAAGTTCGGTGCGTCAGACGTCTGCATTTGACGAGTTTAAGATTAAATGAATCGGTGGCGTATAAAAGCAAATAGGGAGAAACATGCACTTGCGGCGGCCCTGAGAAGTACGTTGGCTGAGTGAGTGCTGAGTCACATATCGTCAACGATCTCTCCCAGCAAGGTGTGCTTAGTAGTTCTCTGTGAAATGCATTCTATCGCATTAGTATAGCGTTATCATCGGCAAAACCATAACATCATGGAAGCAAGATGATTTAACAGAAGTTGTTTTTGGCGCATGTCGCGGGCCTCGAATTGCTATCAGTAAAAAATTATAAGCAGTTCGGAATCCCGGTATCGCCAGTGAATCTGTCAAATTCTGCTAGTAGATTGTATTTTCACTTTTTATGGTATCTGGCGTAGTGTGTCAGTGCGAGGGAAGTGTTGTCACTGATTTAAAGGATTACCATCTTGTATTGTCAAACGAAATTTGTGACTTGCGTAGGATGTACACGACATGCACTGAAGTTTGACGTGGCTAGTGCGTGTTTTGAGGTTATTTTTGTATTCGTATAACTGACCTATACCTTGTTTAAAGAAAACTCCAAATCTTTATTTTCATTCTGACTGTCTGTCGTGTCAGATGCTTGAACGAGATCTCCGAAAATCGTGTTTTTCAGCTTTATTCAAGGCCTGTGTCGATTACTTTAAATGAAGCAAATAGAAGTTTAAGAAAGTGAAGTTTAAACTTGTTTACAGTTAAAACCTTACTTTGCGTTCTTTGTAATCTAAAACCAATACATATGACTTTGTGAACAATAAGACATAAACAATTGTGTACAGAGTGCCAAACATTTGGCATTGACCTAAAGTGACAACAAAAAACTCAACATGAGCTACTGCATTTTCATGACACCTTATTTAGTTTTTGTGTTTAATACAATTGTCAAGCCACTGTGACAACACGTTACACTACCTTGGTCTGGGAATACATTTAACGAGTACAGGTGATTTAAATTAAACAATCATAATGGTGTGCATAAAGAAAATGTACCGCGAGGAACTCCTGCAGCTCGCGTTACTGCTGTCTTTGCTACGAGTAGATCCAGAATCCTACCTTGGTTTGGACATTCAAACCATCGGCGTAGGTTCTTTGGATCTAAACAATGGATCCGGATGGCATAATGACGCTCACACGATTATTCATCGTCCTACTTTTGTCCATCCAAAGAATTTGGACTCGATACTTCTAAACTATGAGAGAGATTTATTTGAAGACTTAAATTCGTTAGGAAGATACAATACATTGAATTCTGGATTAAACAATATCCATGCATACTTGTTGAATATCGAAGACTCAACAGGAGATACTGCCATAGCAGGGCCTAGCATTCCGACAGATCCAGATAGAAATCCTGATCCACCAAATTCATCGCAGAGTCCAAATGAACCAGCCAATACAGCGGAACTTACCCAAGAGGTATTTTCTCTTATGCTTTTAAATTACAAATTAAATTAAATTTTGGGTTCAGATAGAGTTGTGTAGATATTTTGAAATGTGAGTCCATTTAATATCAACTACTTTTATTGTTACTAATATAGAAATATTAACGGTGTATGATTATAATAACACAATCTATGTTTGACCTCAAATTTAGTTTCTTTTATAATATTGCATTATTTACAGTAAATTTGTAATATAGATTTTACAAGATATGCATATAAAAATTTATATTTTTTTTTCAAAGCGATATAGATTAATAAAAATTATTCAAATTGGGTTTGTAGTAGAGAAATTAGTTTGTTATTTATTGTTACAAATTTCTATATTTTTATTTTAATAAATCAGATCATATATTTCCATTGGTATCATCCAAACATTTATATCAAATTTTCTGAGAACATCCGGTTTATATAATAATATTTTCTTACATAACATTTGCAATTAATTGTTGAAAAATTGTTTAAAACCGAATATCACACTTGCAGAAATACTCAGTTTGCTTGGTAAAATTATTCATGTCGTTATTTCATTTCTTGCATAGTAACTATTTTTGTAAATCGAGAATAACTGCCGCGGCGAAAACATCTTTAAACAAAAATTTTAAAAGATATGCCAGTTGAAAGAAAGAAAAACTCTTCTTTACCGAACGTCATCCTGTCGCGTATATGAATGACATTATTCTCAAAAATACGTTATCGTGTACATCATCCTTGTAATGACCTACACCGAGTAAAAAATTGTCGTTATTTTTAGTCCAGTGGACTGAATTCTTTAATACATTCCTACGAAAAATTCAAATTTCTTTAACTGCAGTATTTGCAATATTTTGCAATTTTTCTTAACCATACAAACGTATAATATACAGAATATCATAGTAAAAATGTTATAGTTATTAGAATTTATTGGATAGGTACATATATATATTTCGAGTCAATTTGAATGTCATTTTTATTCTTTAAAATAAAATATATTTTTGTGATCAATAATTCGTGATGATATTTTTATCAGAATTGAACGAAATGAAGTGGAGGATACATGCATTTGATACCTTTCAAACAGATACATAATTTATAGTTTTGAATAATACAAACCTTGCCTTTGTTATCATTTCCTGGTGAAATTTCACATTTTTATAGATTGATGCATTGCACCTTTGTTAAAAATAGTTTTTTAAATATTTCAATGTTTTTTTTTTTATATTCATAACTGTTTCATTAATTAACACTGGAGAGATATAGCTTCACACAGTTGCACTTACAATATGTTTAATTAATAATATATTTAATTATTTAATAATTGTCTAATTAAGAGTATTTTTAATTCTCACTTCTTCATTTTGTATCTTTCTAAAAATACTCCATTTGCTGTTATCGTAACAAGTAACATTATTTCGTCATATGTTGTTTGGTGCTTTATTTATTTTCTTCGTGTTTATTTCAATAATCCTTTCACTATAAAGGTCGCATATGAACGCTCTTAATTAATAGGCGATCATTTGCAAAAAAAAAAAAACTATACGTATCGCAAAGTTGGCAATCATTTATGAAGGACGTTAAATGCCATCATAAGTTGCATATAATCTATCGCGTTCCTTTTTTCGTTATGAGATCGTATCTTATTTGATAAGATATTATAATCGTATTTTTATTTTGATCGTTAATTTATAAAATGTACGCAATGTTTAAATGGAAAAGAAATTATTTTATTTAATGCTGTACACGTTCAGCACACAATGGTTGTTTTCGTTGTATTTTAAGGGAAATTTGACCTTAAAATTGCAAAGAAAAAATGTCTATAAGTTAAGTGGAATGGCTAAATAAAATTCCAAACAATTCCTAAAAACGGTAAAATTAGAATATAGAAAATATTTAAGTAATTATTCTCAAATGTGACACATTTCGAGCGATGAGAACAATGAAAATCGCCCTGAAAATGTGGAACTACGCAGAGAAAGCATATTTTAGATACGAATGTCTTCAACAGCGATACTGAAACATGTTTTCTATAGATTAAGTAGGATGTTATCAACAATACTGTTTTTAACGAAGCGTGCTCAAAAAATGAATATATCTTGCACATAGTACCAAGGAGTTGTTTCCTACGAACAAAGAGTTCTACATATTCTTCGCTAAGGCACATTTTTTGCTATCAGAATGTTGTTGACGATGATTTGATCAGTTTGTAATAATAATTGCGTAACCTTAACCGCTGTATCCGCTGAATCATTTACTACTGGCAATGGCTTAAGTATGTCTAGGCCTATTTTAAAACTCGGGTCATTCTTGCAAGTTCCAAGAACTTTACCTAAGCATTCTATTGCTATTAAATGTTCCCTACACCGACTTTCGTCTGAAACAAAGTACTCGATGTTTTTCTGCGCACGAACCGTTCGTTACGAAAGTGGCGATAAGTACATCTTCTTGAAAAATGGAGTCTTTGGAAGCAACGTTTGAACGATGCTTTTAATAATTTCGAAGTAGTGCATGTTTTAAATTTGAATTCGAAGTAATGAATATTTAAAATTCCATGTTCTCATCATGAGGCCTGATTAGATCTCTTGCAGACTTTTGATTTTTCTATTGTATATTCTTTACTTGTAGCAATTCTCAAAAAATGTTTCCAATGCATTTTGAAGAGGAATACAAAGGGGAAATACTCTGTTTCCCTATCTTCTCTAATAAAGAAACAAAGGATATCTTATCCATTGCCTACTTAACCAACATCATTTTTTACTCAAATATCAATACAAACCTACTTTATGTAGATACACTTACCGACAAAAGTTAAGAAACGAAAGAATATCATTTCATACGAGTTTCGTGTACATTCCATCGTTTACTATCTTACTATATCCAATGAATTGATATTTGTCAGGATAGACGTACTAAATAACAGAAGTAGTACTTTTACAAAAATTGAAAAAATATTCGATTCGTGAAATTTCTATCCGAGTTCTCTGAAAAACTCAACCTTGTTTTCATACCTTTTTTTTATCAGTTCGTTGGAGGATGCTTCGTGCGCACCATTTATTTACCTAATAGCCTTGACTGTCCAAGTCATCCATATCAGTTTATCTAGGTTAATTAATTGCGAGTCTATTTCTTCACCGTCTGTTTACGTATCTAGCCAACGCATCTAAAACATTTTCCACCGCTATTTTGTTATTAAAAAAAAAACAAAGTCCTGAAGCCTCTTTTAGAAAACCGTTTGATATAATAGCCGACATTACAACCGATGTTCCATTTCGTAAACCGCGTACTTGCTCGTATTGTTCTTGTTCCCATCTTCTGCCGAGCTCACAAAATGTAAACAAAATGATTCAGTCTGTAAAAATAGGTCGAGGAAAGAGTATCGC